GTGCCAGCCACCCCCCCCACTTTCTCAAGCTCGTAGCACTGAGTGGCCTGAAATGTTGCTGCTTCCGTTAACCTTAGTTGACGGAACTTTTACTATTTGTGATTAAAAAAAGCTGTTTTTATTATTATTATTATTATTATAATACAGGATTTATATAGTGCCAACAGTTTGCGCAGCGCATTACAATATAAGGAAGATATTACAATCACAATACAATTCAAGACGCGATGGTAGGAGGGCCCTGCCCCTGAGGGCTTACAATCTAAGAGGGAGGGGGAAGTGATACATGAGGAGATAGCTGTGTGGGGATGAATTTAATGAGAACGTGATGGTTGAGCGGTTAGGTTGAGGTGGGATAGGCTTCCCTGAAGAGATGAGTCTTTAGGGATCGCCTAAAGGCAGTCAAGGTGGGCGACACATGCACAGGTTGGGGTAAAGAATTCCAGAGGATGGGAGAGACTCTAGGTTTTAAAAGTTTGCATAGTTGATAAAGTCAACAAACGAACCAGTTCAACCTTCTGTATATATGTGCGTGATTTAAGAGTCTCTAACAATCCCCAAATGCTCCCTGATGAAGGCAGCTAAAAGATTTCTGAATTTGTCAACACTCTAAAATCACCACCTGAGGTCCACATTTTCACTGTTCCAACAGTATAGAACCCCTTCTGGAATCCAAGACTAAACGTCCTTTCTTCCAAACTCAGATTATGGCCATGTGTCTTCTTTAGGGACCTTAGAGTAAACCAACTGTTACATTGGATATAGTTATACATTGTGATCATATGTCCCTATAATAAGCTCCTCTTCTCCAAGTGAATAAGAGTAATACATGTAACTGTTCCTCGTAGCTGAGGGGCATCAGTCCTCTTATTCATTTTGCTGCCCTTAACAGGAACTCTTTCTAATTCAATGACATGTTGCCTGAGGATTGGTGACCAAAACTAAATGGTATGTTCAAGATGAGGCCAAACCAGTGGTTTTGTAAAAGGGGTAGAATGATGGATTTATCTGCCATTTCTTTACGCATGAGAGCCCCTCCAGATTCTTCTCCATCACCGATTCTCTCAGCAACGACCCACATAATCAGGGTTATTCACTCAGCTGCCAAAGGCAGCCGAGTGAATAACCGAGCAGAATTGAACAGAGCTGAACGACGTTCTGCTATTTACTCCAGCTCAGTTCAGCCGTACATCAGCTGCCTACAGCTGAGCCGAACTGCAGAGGGACTTCGACTCAACATCCAACATCTGGATCAGCTGAGCCGAAGCTCCGGCAGCTCACTCGCTGCCGTTCGCCAGTGAGTGAATAGCCGAATGCTGCTGAGCGGCATTTGGCTCAGTTATTCTGCTCGGTACCTCCATGGTACCTCCTATTCTGCAACCAGTTTTCTAGGGCAGCTTTTTCTCCATTCAGATCGGCTTCTAGAAGGTTACACAGTAGGGAAATCCTCCACGCTGTGTAACCTGTCATGGACGGAGCTCTGGATGTTAATTACCGGCAGCGCTGCATCCGGCTTTTGACAGGTAGTTAGGTTACACAGCAGCGGGCTTCCACAGTGCTTGTGTAACATAACTTGGGGAGGCAAGAGCTGTCACAGCCTCTACTCCGTCAGAGGCGTAAGCACTGTGGATGGCTTGGACCAAATGGCAAAGCGCCATTGGTCCAAGGTGTCCGATCAAAACAAAAAACACTGAGGCCATTGATCTCGATGCCTCAGCAGTGATGAGCAAGTAAGGGACAGGGAGGCTCCTCCCCATCTCCTCCCTCCTTCACACTAGCTTGGGGACCTGGTTGGGGGGCTGGGCTTCGGCAGGCTGGGGAGCGGGGCGGGACGGGTGCGAGGCTGGGGAAGGCCTCACCCAAAACCAAAAGGTACCGTACGTCACTGCTAAGGACTCATGGGTGTAAGCCATCTGGACCTGGTAATTAGTTTACATCACATTCTCCCGCCTGTCTTGTACCCAGCTTTCTATGCCACAGAGACACACATGGTACATTGTAAGGATGCACAGATACTTTTCGAGTACCAGTGCAGATACTTGGCATTTTCATGAGAACTACCGGGGTTGCAGCGGTTGCAGCTGGGACCTGGCTCTGGCGCTCCACCACTGTCCTGAAATCATTAGTCTGCATTGTTGTAGAAAAACTGTCACATGACAATAAACAAAAATGTATCAGTGCTCGGCAAGTACCAGTACTCGTACTCGCAAAACTGGTATCTGTGCATCCCTTTATTTATAAAAACAAAATCATACATTATAACAGAGATGTCCAAATCCCAGGAGCTCTGTGTGCTCCTTATAAATGACAGCTGCCTCCTAACTTTTACATTTTTCTCTAGTCTACTCATGGAGCTCAAAAGTATCGGTACTTGTACCGAGTACTGTACTTGGTATCTGTGCAACCCTAGTACATTGTTTTTATAATTACTGATCGAACCCATTATTTACATCTGTATATTTGAAGAGAGAAATCTATATAATACATCTGCTAATTTTAAGAAGATCTGGGTGATGAGGATGATTTTTTTTCCATGGTTTGGATTTGACCCCGTAAATTGCTATAAGGGGTGGTGATCTTTGCACCAGGTACCATCCTAAGTTGTGTGCTACTTTCTATTTGAACCATGCAAATTCGCATTGCACATATGGACCTATTAAGGCCAAACTTCAGTCAAAATCTATTTTATTTCTGACTGAGTAGGGAAGGGGTAGAGCACCCGTCCAGTTTTTACTGCTGTTTTTGTCCCTACTGGGAATGGGGAAGGGTTAAAACCTCTGACCATGTATTGCCGTCTGCACCTTCCTGTCCTGGTGATGGCCATGCCCACAATTCCTTATAGAGGTGTCAAAGGGACAGGGAGTGCAATAAAATCTCTCCAATGGGGTCACCCCAACCTCTCATCCTCAGGAGTGTCCTGGTTGGCTCTTCCATTGATCAGCTGTGTTATCTGAGCAGCATTTAGTTCTAAAACATCTAGCGTTTGGTAGAACGGCTAGGCCTTCTTCAGAAATGACAGGTAGATGTGGATTTTAATGGTTCCTAGTACAGGCATTGTTGCAGGGTTGCAGTTCAACTGGAAAAAAAAACCCACTAGAGCCTGAGGGTGGCAGAGGAAGGCTAAGCAGCTTTGAATGGTGGTAGCTTTATAGCTCCTCGTCTGCTCATTGACGACACCGGATTGGTGGAGGAACCTGAGATTCCATCAACAAACCCCGGGGGATCAGCAGTGGGAGGGGCATGTGTAGAGGACTATAACCATCATGTATGTCTCTGCAAAGGGAAACACTACCGGCTTTGGTCAATAAGTTACTGTCCTGTTCACTTACTTGTGCGCTTTTCTTATCCGCTTGACAATGGCTTCTGTGATAGTGTTCTGTGTTATCCCTCCACCTGTGCAGCTGATAAAAAACTGATTCTAGATTTTAAAAAAAACACAAAAGCAGAAATATTAGTTTGAAGGCACACAACTTTGCTGCTGCTTTAAGCTTCAGGCAACTCTAGGTGACATGGTACGTGGCTGCAACATTGCCGTGAGCTGGGAGTGCTCGGAGATGAACAAACGCATATACTGGCTATATAGGTCTCTGGAATATGTGGACACTGGTTAGCCAGGGCAAGAGGAGACAGTGGAACTATGATCTGAATATAGTTACATAGTTACATAGTATTTGAGGTTGAATACAGACATTAGTCCATCAAGTCCAACCTATAGGATCTCATTCTTTGGAGTACCTGTACCCCAAAGTTTCTTGAACAATTCCACACTCTTAGCTGAAATCACCGCCTGTGGCAGTGAGTTCCAGACCCTAACTGATCTTACTGTGAAGAACCCCCTTCGCCCCTTGTGCTGGAATTTTTTTCCCACCAATTTTAGGTGGTGGCCTCTAGTTTTTGTAATGGAGTTAATTTTAAACAGTTTATCGCTAATGTTGCTACCACCATTGAACATTTTGTACATGGAGATCATATCCCCCCTTAATCTCCTCACCTCCAATGTGAACATGTTTAAATTTAGTAGCCTCGTCTCGTAGCTCTGGTCCTCCATACCCCTAATTAGTTAGGATTCCTGCATTAGGAGAGTATCTTGTTTTGCAGACCATCGTGGGGTTATACCAGTACCAGTTGAGCCACTTTCACAATCGGCGGACTGCAGGAAAGGAGGTCACTGCCTTCCTGTGGTCAAGAAATGAACTATAAGCAGTACAATGAGCCTGGTAATCTCACCTCTATGTAAATGTAGTGCTCAGCATTGGCTATACAATGCAGGTAGGCGTTCAAAATGGAATATTCGTGGCATCCAACGGACCAGTTGTCAACCGATCGCAACACCTGCATGAGAAGGACATAGTGGTCACATTGCAAACTCCTGAACAAGCACACGTGCACTCAAGGTCCATGTTCATGAACACGCATACATGCTTCACTTACAAAGTATTCAATAATTCAAAGCAATATGAAACGATAGTGCCCATAAGGCTGCCTAATTCACAAATTCATGGTGTTAAAGCTTTGTAAATTGAGTTTCTTGTGTAGTAACCCCGAACAACAAATCAAAATGCTTTAACTGTTCACATGACACAGGTTGCCAAACTTTGCACATTGCTCCTGCCCACTGCACTATCCTAAAGAGTTGTGGACTTTGAGTCTATCACCCATGCCCTAAAAACATCATCTAAATACATAGTCAATGAACAATAGAAATGTCCCCCTGCACTACTTTACAGCGCTTCCGGTCCAAGTGAAAACAGTGGTGCTTGCAGTGACAATCACGGATGACGCCGTGTACAACAGTCAGAGGTGTGACGGCCACATAGGTCACATCTCTGTCCTGATGAAGGGACCCTGCGTTGTCCTGAAACGTTGGATCATGCGATATGTGTGACGTTTAGTCCAAATAAATTGACTTTTTTTGAATTTCATTTACGGAGTGCTGGTGATTTCTATTGTTCATTGACTGTTGTACACGGCGCCATCCGTGATTGTCACTGCAAGCACCACTGTTTTCACTTAGATCCAGAAGCGCTGTAAAGGAGTGCAGGGGGACCTACTGTTTTCTGGCATTATCTAAATACATAGAGTGTGTGTGGTATGTCCTGCCCCATCTCCTCCCCTGCAGTTCCCTTGCAGAAATTACTGGCAAATCCTGGCTGCCATTTTGACAGCCAGGACCTGTTCTGTGGCTGCAGCAGCTCCTGTGTAAACAGACACAGACAGGACTCGATATGCATTGTCATTGTGATGAGCAAGCTAGCCTGGCCTGGAATTATCTAAATACATAGAGTGTGGGTGGTATGTCCTGCCCCATCTCCTCACCTGCAGTTCCCTTGCAGAAATTACTGGCAAATCCTGGCTGCCATTTTGACAGCCAGGACCTGTTCTGTGGCTGCAGCAGCTCCCGTGTAAACTGGCACTCGCAGGAGAGTGTCTGCATTGTCATAGTGATGAGCAAATTGGCCTGGGTTCAGTTCACTTGAACAATGCCGAACCCAACCAGAGATCTGAGTTCGGTGAACGTCCAAGGAGAACCGAACCCAGAGCCGCTGTGTCCCAGCAACAAATTATTTTGTGTGACCCAATCTGAGCACACTTTTGGAAAAAAAAAAAAAAAGATTGTTCAGGATTTATATTTCACCAAAGGTTTGTGAAGCACTTTAAAATATAAAGAGACACAGTACGGTTACTATGCAAGACAAGAGGGGTAGGAGGGTCCCGTTCATGAGATCTTACAATTTTAAAAAGGGAGGAGCAAGTGATGCAGGCACGAGTTCAGTTGCTAGGCTAGAGGCAGGATAGGCTTCCCTTAAGGTGTACAGAGTAGGACAAAGCCGGAGATATTGGGTTATGGAGTTCCAGAGGATGGGAGAGGCTCTGGAGAAGACCTGGTGGCCAGCATGGGAGGAGGTGACAAGAGAACTAAAGACCAGGAGGTCTTGGGAGGAGCAAAGAGGAGGGTTTGGGTGATATTTTGAGGTAGGCCAATGAGGAGGGAGTTGCAATATTCGAGGTAAGAGATAACAAGAGAGTGAATTAGTATCTTGGTGGTGTTATTGATTAAGAAGAAGGGGCATATCATGGAGATGTTACAGAGGTGAAGGCGGGAATAACATTTTCGTATTCGATTAATCAAATTTTTTTTTAATCGATTCATTTCGATTATAACGCACATACAGATCCAACTCCATTGGCCTATACACGTACAGCACAGCAATGAAGTAATAAAAATGAACTAGGATCACACTAATCCAGCACGTTATTAATCTCACGTGCCCCACTCAATATGGCCGCCGGCTTGAGTGGGGCAACTCAGAATAATAACGTGCTGGATTACAGTGATCCTAGTTCATTGTATTACTTCATTGCTGTGCTGTATGT